TTTTTTGCTTCACACAAATCTCATAAATGTCATTTGGTAGTGTTGCAACAATGTCCAATACATGAAATATTGCTAAAAAATAAATAAATAAAAAAGAAATGTTGAAATTTATGAATTCATGGATATTTTTATCATTATTATTTAATTGGCACTATGATAATAATGATAATAACAATAACGATGACAATGATGACGATGATGATAATGGTGTACCTTTCCTTTTTTTCTTAATATTTAATGTTAATAAATTTGACGGTTATTATTTTTTGGCCTAAATTATAAAATTTCATTAAATAAACTTTCGTTCCTTACTCAAATTTCAGTACTTCTAAACCAAAAAATAATGTAAAATCAGTGTATTTCAAACATCAAAAAATGTTAACATGTTAGTAAATATATATATATATATATATATATATATCATTATCATTAACATTCATTATCATTATCAACATTATCATCATCAAAAAATTAGCACAACATAATCAACGAAATCAAACATAATAAATTAAAAATAAAAAATAATTTATTCTATTTTACTTTTCAAAATATGCTACAATGATTTATTTTCATAACAAAATGTAATAATGATTGCTTTTGAGTTCGAACTTCTTTTTTTTTCCCTCTCCCCCCTTTCCATATCAATTTTTATCTTCTTGCCATATTTTCAAATGATTAACTGAAATAATTACCAGCAAATTATCTTCCACACCTAACTTATTGCACAAAAATTTCCTTCATTGATCGTATTGTAATTAAAATATTTTCCTTAATAAAATAACTCTTGAAATATATATTTGTTCTCGAATTCAACTCACTTTTTCTTAAATTTAAATATTTTTAAAACTGAATAATTTCTTTGTTATCAATAATTATAATTTATTGATTTTTTCCATTACTACAATGCTTTCCTTTTTTCATATCTTGGCAAATTTCAAAAATTTTAAACAATTTGTGAGAAGTAATTATCGTCAAATTTGAAATTTTCTTTTTACCTCCGTTTTCATTCAATCCTTTCCTTTTTCTCTTCTTTCTTTTTTCTTCTTCTTCTTCTTCTTTTTCTTTCTGACCTCATAACATTTCGAATAACAAAATTTTACAGTTATACGGCAACTTTTTGCTTAGATTTAAGCGTTTATTGCAAGTTCCATTTTATTTATCTTTTAAATCTATTTAAGTTTTTGAAGAAGCATAGCCGCCAAAAAACTTTTTTTTTTTGTTTCAAACATATGTTTGTTGGATCCTTTGAACAGCTTAGGGCCAGATGGTAAAAGTACCATTTCATTTTTTTCATGAAAATTTACTATAAGATTTTTAATAAAAGTTGTCATTTTAAAATTTTCATCTCGAAAATTTTTAATTTTTCCAATTCTTTTTTCTCTTTATATTTTCTTGGATTACATTGTTATTGCTGTTAACTAATTAATCTATTAATTTGTTATTATTGTCATTATCATTATCATTATTATTGCTATTAATGAGCGTTACACATTTTTACGGATAACATTTATTGACTCAACTTTTTTGTCGCAATTTTTAATTTGATAATATTTTAAAATCTTTGTTAAAGAGTGGAGAATTCTAATGAATTTTAAAATGAAGTTTATGCAAGCATTTCTGTAATAAAACATTTGCAAAATTGACAAATATATATTTATCAGTATTAATTTTTTTCTTTTTTTTTTTTTATTATCAGGAGGTCAAACGGTGGCTCTAACATTATTAGGACCACCACCGGAACCTCTTACGCTGGATGTTCAAGAAGTTTTGCAAATGCGAGCACATGAAAGTAAACCAGTTATCAATGAACCTATACTCATTGAGGTATTTTCTTTTTGGGAGCGGGGAGAAAAAAAAGGAACATTTTAAAATGACATAATTTAAAGTTGATTTAAATGAATGAATTTTTCCCTTTTTCATTCTTCTTTTTCCATTTTTTAAAGTGGAAAAAGAAGAGAATAGCGTAGGTTTAAGTGAAAATTTTCATAGCTAAAAAGTATAAAGTCAAAAAGATTTATTTAGGATTTTTCGACTTGTTAAAATCGTTTCTTTTCAAAATACAAAATGACATATTTTCTATTTCAATAAAATTAAAAAAAAAATTTCAAGGATTATATTGTGATTTCAAGTTTTTTGAAAATTAAAATTTTTTTTTCTTGTTTTTAGAACGAACGGAAAGAAGAATGGAAACGAAAACGCGTGAAAGTTATTAGGCAAATGTTGGACGAAGAACGTCGGCATGTTGAAGTAAAATATTTTTTTTTTTTCAAATTATGCTTTTTTTTTCTAACAAAAAAAAGAGGAAAAAAATGAAAAAAATTCGTATTATCTATTTAAAGTAAATTAATTTCCTTAAAAGTTTACAAAAAAAAAAAAGTTCACTGATTGAATTTTAAAAAATTACAAGAAATTTTGCATAATTTTCTTCTTTCCAATGATTATTCAATTGGTTGTATTATTTTAAATCATTTTTGAAAACTTTTTATCTCAAAATCTTATTATTTAATTAGGAGTAATTTACAAAAATCGAAATAGTTAATTGCTTAACTAAATTTATAAACTAATATTGAAGAAGATATAATTGAAAATTAACGTTTGTTTACATGGTCAACGATTTGTAAATTATAAAAAAGAAAAAAAAAAAACTTGCTAGTTAGTAAATGTAATGTATTAACCATACTCTCTACTACAACAATTGAATTGTTGTGAAAAATTTGGATGACATTAAAGTATTGAGATGTCATCTGTTGATAGATGTCAGACAATTGTGATCAGACCCACAATATCCACCATTTTATTCTTTTTTTTTTTCTTTTTTTTTTCTTTACATTCATTTACCGATAGTATTCATGTTTGCTGATAATATCTGCTAAGAATACTCAAATTTGTTGATAATACTGCTATTATATGTTGATAAATACCTGCTAATAATGCTGATAATAGCGTTGTCACATCATTTAAATATTTTTAAAACTTCTTGAAATTTTTTTTCGTCCTATTTTAATACTGTTAAAAATATTTATCATTTTTAGGTTGCATTAAATTAATCAAATCATATAGATATGTATGTAAATATATATCTTGGTATAATCGAAAACAAAAAAGAAAGAAAGCTGTGGTTTTGATTGATTTCAAAATTATGAAGAAATGAAA